GTGGCTGGGTCCCTGGGGTGGGCCTCCTGGCTCTCTGCACCACAACACCACCGCTCGCTCAGCTACAGGAGGTCTCAACAAGCGTCCTCAGACTGTCTACAGCGGCTGATTCTGGAAACGGAATATCTTCTGTTGGACAATGCTCAAATGCATGAGATGTCAAACTGGGTCCTTTTTAAACATAAACTTAAAGACTTTTTATTGAGAGGTCAGACATGTGGACATTATTAATCTGACTGTCTTGATCTTTTATCTGTGATGTTTTAGTGTGTAATTTGTTGTGTTGTGTACAGTCACTGTGTTTCGTGTAAAAGCCTAACTGGGGACAGGCGTTGAGAATTAGCCTTAGCTAAAATGTTATAGTGTGTGACATGTTTCATGAAACACACTTGTCCCTATCAAATAAACGAATAAATAAAATAAAAATGTGTGTAGAACAGCCGTTCTGTAATGGATACCTTTTCTATTCTGACACCAAATAAATGGACAGGTTAACAAACTGGAAAAGTCTGTGAGAATGCCAAAATCTGAATGGAGAAAGCAGAAGGGTTGAACGGAGCAATCGTTTGAAAGAGCTGATAACCACCAGGTACAAGAAGATTTGAACCAGTGACTTCTGGATTGGCAGTAAAACGCTCTACTACTGATCTGTAAATCTGTAAAGGACTACATATGAAGAATTTAAATGGGCGAAATGACTCCATTCATTTCAATGAGAGAAAATAAAAGCAGAAAAAGTGAAATTACTTAAGAAGTTGAAAAGATTTGAACACCAAAAGTCATAGTGCTAAAGGAGTTGAACATTTTCATACCTTATTTGTTGAAATAGGCTGAAAAATTTGGGCGTAGTTAGACGCAGAAGAAGTAAAACAGGAAAACAATAGGAAAACAATCACAATATATGATCATTGAGAGCCGCATGATGGTAAATTTGACATTTGTCCCATAGGTAGCACTTCAGCTCAGATTCATGCGTCACACTGGACTCTTTGTGAGCTTTTAGCTAAATGTGCCTTGTCTTAACTTTGATTTTTGGGTCATATTTTTGCAATCTGATGCGGATGGATACCATGAGGACCGATCTGTGAGGGTTGTGGGGTGTTAGCTCCCCCACTAGGTGAGTGGGTCAGAGGTTTGTGTAGCATTTTTGCACGCATGAGTCCTCCCTCTGCAAACTTCTGTCTGCAGCCATAAGCTGATTTCCCATTCATGTATCACTTAGCCACAACATTACAGCAGCTGGAGAGTGAAAGCCAGAGGCTGATGATCTGGTTATGTTGTGACTAAGCAGGAAATGTCCAGTTTTGAGCGTCACAACTCCCCAGATCCCAGTCTGATCCGGCTTCATCTGCTGGGTGTGCTGGAAACTCTACCCCCCACATAACAGCCCCGATCACAGTGCGGCTTCAGACGACCACAGGACGCTCCCAGAGCTTTTATAAACGAGATCCACCATTTTCTGGAATTATTTGGACTTTTTTCTCTGTCCCGGAGCAACATCCTATCAGCTTTTGAAAGTAAACATCTTCTCAGACGATGTTGGAAATGTGGAACTTATGTACATTTCTAAATGAATCCTGGCATTATGAAAACCACTTTGAACAATGGAAATATCTATTATGTGGATAACGTTCTGGCTTCTGTGATATTTCGTTCATTTGGGAAGCAAATTAAGCGAAAGCAAAGCGACTCCTCTGAGAACTGAGACTATTAGCAGCAGCCGCCGCGGCGGGAATGAGATGGAGGTTTTCATTTATTCATCGATTTTCCTCCGCAAACAGACGGGATCATGTAGGGCTTAGCACCATCAATACAGCGAGAAAGGAAATGTGACACTCTCCTGACTGGCCTGGAACACGAGGTACATGTGTGAAATATGCCGAAATGAAATGACAGGTCAATCTGAAGCCCCAACCTTTGAAATGGCTCTATTGTTCAGCTTAATGCGACTAGAAATGGACATCAGCATCATGCACACTTCCAATGAAAATTAAAGCTGTGTTACAGCTTTAATTGGGCCGAGAAAGTCATTGCAAAAGTTTTTCCTTGTTAAACCTGCGCTTACACACCAGTTTATTGTACGTCTGCCTTCCTGTAGACAAGCAAGGGACCAACGTTTTGCTGTTTATATGTTCTTTTTCACACTTAGATCATGTGAGCCATTTTATCCCCAAGTGTGCTAAACTACCAGATATTCTTCATTGTTTTACATTAAATAAATTCTCTATTTTTTTTCCTGTTTTGTTTAGTTTTTCCAACCAACTGCA